CTCTTTGTCCGTCACTAACTAACTCTCCCTCCGCTCTGCGTCATCCGTCTCTTGTCTTCAGCATCCCTCGTGTAGATGGTCTTAAGGGCGATTGCCCTTTGTTCCTTCCGGGGCACAGACAGTAATTGAGTAGCGGGGTGAGTGGGGGTGCGTGACTCATGGATGAATTCGCGTTCCCCTCCCACTTCTTTGTGAACGGCGTGCGTCAGCTACTAACACAATTCTGGCTACGAGATGCAGATGATTGTCCTTCCCCTCTGCCATTATTCAGTGCGTCCTGTTTTGTGTGGAGATGCTCCAGATCAATGGCCCTCATCCTTTCTGATCCGCGGATCGGTAAAACGGCAGTATGCTTTCTGAGGACTTCGCTCTTGTCGAGTACTCCCAGTTCAATATTCTGCACCAGGGCGTAGAGTAGTCACAAGGCTTCTGGCAGAACGGATATCGTGACGGACGAACGTAGTAAGAGACCGCGCAGACTTGTGGTTCCATCCGTCAAAACTGTTTAGCCACTCTAAAAATCTACAAACGGAACCTCGTGGTTCTGCCAGGGTTCTGTTTTTTTCCGAGTAGTTTCTGTATCCGGAATAAATTTCTCGCGCGCGGATTATCGTCCTGATGATGGAGGTAACAGACACCTCTGAAACGTCAGCAAACTTCTAACAGATTACGATGCGCCATCTTAATATTTGGCCTACAACGAGAACTTCAAATCTAAAATTTTTATTCTGCTTTTAAACATCGTAGAGCTTATGACATTTATTAATTATGGAGCATTACCACTCACTCACCCCCATCTAGTGCCGAGGTCTAGAATGAGTAGGAGCTATGTACGTCTCCGTTGTGGGCCTTTTGAAATTGAAAGGCGTCTTCAGGGGGGCAGAAACACCCATTATTTGGGGGGGGGGAGATAGGAGCGTAGGATAGAAATATTACCAAATCCAAATTTTCTATAAAACTCGAAACAAAGATGGATTGGTATATTTATTTCTATTTAAATATAGCTGTTGGAAGAATTCTGATGTTTTTATTTCCTGAACCAACGACCATTTGCTTGTCTCCCAGTTCTGCCCTCAAGAACATGGCGTGGGTAAAGATGTAGAGATCTGCTATTAAGCGTGAAGTGTTCACGATTCTTCTTTGTTTCGTTCATTCGAATCTTCTTCAGAAACCACAATCTCAGGCTTCAAAGTGACACGGGAACTAGGAATTGGTCTGTGGCTTGCATGTATTTTCTGTTGTGATCTAATTTTCCTTCGCCAGTTTTAATTCGCATGGACAAACGCACGACTAAAACTAGACATTTTAATTTTAAAGTTACAATAACGTATTCAAGATACAGTTTTTCATAGATTTTCGTGAAAATAAGCATAAGTTACGGGAAAATGTTGGCGTGTTCTTTATCCGTGGTCATGTCCTTGTTCTGAGAGCGTTTGTTACCGGGTCGTTATTGATCAGGAGAATGCAATTCGACGGACGTACGCCGCTCCACGCCTTACCGCGTTACCCAATCTCTTACTATCAGCATCGCAGCGCATCACAGCGGCACGCTCTCGAACTCCATGAGCATGGCTACGTCTGTAATAAAATTTCTTTTATATTGAGGGCGACTGGGAACAGCGATCCGTGGGAGAATATTTGAGCTTGGAGGGATGCAGTGACAACAGACTGGGGTTTGTTGTACTGTGAGAACCTCCGTTAGGATTATTGAATCGGGGGAGCATATAGGGACATAAAAAATGCGTGCAACATTTTGGTTGGGGAGTCTGAAGGGGTGAGAAACTCGAGACCGAGGCGTCGATGGAGGACAATATTAAAATGGCTTGTAGGGAGATTTTATTTGGTGGGGTGTGCATTGGATTCGTCTGGCTCAGGATGGGTCCGTGACGGGCTCTGCTGAACACGGCAATGAACGTTCGTGTTTCATGAAGGATGGATGAGTTTTTGACTTGCTATAATACGCGTACCATTGTTTTTTTGTTCCTGTAAATACATTTTTCTCTGGAACATGAAATGCTGCTTCTCGGAATTAAGTGACTTAAGTGAATTAAGCGACATCTAAGGGGCCTTATAAAAACGCATGTCTTTGATTACATAAGTCGTTGAAACATCCCACATAAGAAGGAACCAACGAAAAACAATTTAAGATTTGAACTTGGTGCCGAATAAGGTTATACGAATCAGAATTAAATTCATCCTACAATGTCTATTTAAATTCTCGCAGCGTCAAGTAGTTTCTGCGGTTGAAATATTTCGTCTTAAATTATGCATTTCATGCAAGTAACTCGATCAGTTAAAATTTTGACGTTGAATTTCCAGCATACGAATTTTTATGCCTAGTTGGGTCGTAAATTCATAATAAGCGCGTTAAATGTCTTCTATCTGGACCGGAAGCGAAAATTGTGTTTCGGGCAGAATTTCCTCCTCTTCTAAATATCATACGTGCCATTTTAAATACGGTTTATACGTGGATTTTCTTGTTTTAGTGAGATTGGATGCCTGTTACGTTTTAGTGCGTCGTAAATTATCGTTTGGTAACAGTAAACATCAGAACGAAGGAAGTTTGCAGTTCGACGCCCTATAAAAACAGGACTTCGCGTTTTCGTTCGCTCCATGTGCTCATTGCCTCATTTCGTTGCCAGTAATTCTGAACGGTAGTGACGGTGGTTGGTGGATGTTGACGGTGGGTTAGCCGTGAAGTCCATCGATGACGGTGATAGAATGAACCTGTTACGCTTCTCTACCTGAAGCTTAGTACCAGGGGCCCATCTCGAATTTTTTCTCGGCAGTGCTAGGGAGCATCGGTGTTCCCGGGGACTAGACAGATGTGTGCCCCCTCTGAAATAAAGTAATGACGGCCTTTTCCCAGTTCACAGAGGAACTGAAGCTGGGGATTTTCTCGATTTCTCACTTCCCTCGCTCTCTGACATCAGCGGGAAAAAATATCTGTCCAACCGTGTATCAGCGGGAAAAAATATCCGTCCAACCGTGTATCAGCGGGAAAAATATCTGTCCAACCGTGTATCAGCTGATTCCGTATGGATAGTTCTTTCATAATTATTGCCAAGCCACCGTTCGCTGTATTTCATTGTTGTTCGGTAAATACCGAAGCAGGAAGTTTAACAATAAATTATTTTCCCAGCAGATGAATTTATAAAGGGGACATGACTTCGAGTAGTCTTGTAATGTCACGTACAGGGCCATATATAACCTGCGTATTCTGTACCCTCGAGACAACCGATCAGAGTTGGTTTAAGAGCGAATTTTCGTTCATTCAACTTTCTGTTTAATGTTTGTGTTCTTATACTGTACAATTATTGGGCACATTTAATTACATTAAACAGTCGTGCTTTTGTCTTTGGTGTATCTTTAAGAGACATGTTTGTTACGAATCAAGAACATTAACAATTTTAACTACAATTTTTTCTGATCTGCAGCGACTTTGAAATAGGCCGACTCGCCTTCCTCCGAGTAGAAATTATTGCCCAATTATCACGCAAACATTATTTAACTCACTTGTGGGCATTCGCGTCTTGATTTCAGAACGCAGAAATTTTGTGCTGTGCGTAGAAGTGAGAATTATAATAGCTCATGAGCGAACATGGCCCTCCGTTCTTGATCGTAATCTAAGAAAATTAATACGCTCAAAATGCGAAGTCCTAGTTCGCGCCCGCATAAGGTAAAGCCTGTAGTGCATTTTTCTTTTTATCGGGCACGGGGAGTCGATTTTTATCCACCCCGAGGGTATTTTTAAGCTTGTGAAATGTTGACGGAAGGCTCGGGTTGCTCTGACCTCATTTCCTCCAGTTCCGAGACCAGGGTCATGGAACAAACCGAGTTACGTACGTACGGACTGCGGAGAAGCAGATAGCAAGACGTCGGCCGATATCGATTGTGGCGCAAACTGCACGCCGGTTGGCCGTTTTTTTTACGTAATATTGGCTAGTGGTCGGAATCGGAACACCTCGGCTATCGGAATTCGACTTCATATCGTCGCCGTTGAAGATCCTGGAATTACGTATGTCTTAAGGAGATCAACAGTTGATACGACCAGGCATTAGGGGGCAGATACATATTCTTCTTAGCGATTTAAATATGTGAATGTTCACATCGTGTTTCAGTGGAATCAGACGGAGTAAGATGACGTTGGTTTATGATTAAATCGGAGAAATAGATTCAGACAACTATTGTTAATATACAGGCCGGATATTATTGCCGTCAAATCGAAAGCTAAGTAGCACAATTTCTACCCACTTCAGAAGTTCGCATAGCGCCGACGGGTACAAAGATTTAATAGCCTCTGTCCGTCCAAACGTCACTGGGGTGGGATGATTGCTGAGCGTTTCCTGACAAAATACGTAAGCAGACGTGAGATTTTGTGACCTCGTATGACGAGAACTGCTCGTTGGCGCATTTCAGCGACAGGTTAACGTGACAACTGTGCGCGACATAGCAGTATATTTGCCGAAGTCAAAAGGATCTAAAAGGACCGTGATTCATTGAATCCTGCCGTACTGTATGAATACAGCTGTGCTATAGCGAATGTTCTGTAAGGTAGAAACGACGAAATTGTTTCGTCGCACCCCTGCAGGTTGAGTTTAGGCTACCCGCTGCATACTGCTGTTGGAGAAGTTGCCGCGGAAGCTTGGGGTTTCTGTTCGTGTTTCCGTAAATGTTCCACCTCTCGTGCGTTTGTCTGGGCGTAAAAGAGGGAGCAGCTTGCAGAGGGTGAGCTGTTTTTTCTGCCTTCGAATACAAATTTGAGTTTTATAACCTCCCTGGATTCTTTTGTTTAGACTTGCGGTAGAATTAATTTGTGAATCGTAGGTCTCTTGCTGGGCTGTGACGCTAACAAGTGGTTACCAGAATTTCGGAGGAATATGTTACCCCCATCCTATTGTTTCTACCCTGAAGATCGAGGCGATGCGTTCATCCAGAAAATTGGCAATTACCTACAAGACATGCTGCCAAACACAGGCGGAGGCACATCCCGTATGATTATTTGTTTATGAAAGCTGATAAAACTGTGGTCCATTGGATTTTCTGCGTTAGGCATACATAGGTAATATATGTCAATTCTATATTATTTGACCGTTTTTCTGTGGGGGGGGGGTTCGAGGGCTTCTGTGTGTAAAGTATTAATTGTTCCTAGTGTCTTAACACATACTTAAAACAAGAGTGAAATTGTCTTGACAATTCTTTGTGCGATATTCAGATGTTTTGGTTTACCTTCGTCTGCATTGTGAGATGGTACGTATTTTTTTCATTTGGCAGCCAAATTGACTGCTTAAATGTCTCTTTGTGGCATTTGCAGCCGTACTGGCTGATATCCAGCGCTTCAGTAAAGACGGGGAGGTTTCTGTTGGAAAATGCCTGACTGTATACCTTCTGTTAATAACTTCTACAAAAACTTTAATATAAATGGAGATCTACGCTCAGGTGTGAGGATAATAAATGTTAAGGTGGGTGTTCAAGAATGCAGTGTGCTTCGAGGTCGTCAATTGTATTCCACGGGCAGAGGATAGCGATCGTTGGCGGGCGCTTGTAAACGCGGCTAACCTTCGGGTTGCTTAAAACCTGGAGAATTTCTTAACCAGTCGAGCAACTGTCAGTTTTTAGGGAGGGTTCTTCTGCACTAATTAATTGTATTTTTTTAATTATGTATGCTCCGTGGTTAATTTGCGAAACGTTACAGTTAGTTTTACAAAATTTCGAATGTTCATAAATTGTAGATAGGTTTCGAGTAATTGTCCAGTGGAAGTTAACCGAAAACAAGCCTCATGCAGGTTTTCCAACTAATTTCGCCGTTGTCCCGCGGAGATATGTAGGCCCTTCATCTCAGCACCATTTTACTTAATGTAAAATACGTGGTATGCGCCGAGTTTCACGAAAATCGTTCATTTCGTGCATAATATTGATGATTGTAGTTCAGTGATGAGACGGACAGACAGGCACGCAGTTCACTGATAAGGCCTCAAAGAAGGATTTCCAAGGATCGAGTGGCATCCAATCTTAAATTAAATTACAATGCTGAAAAGCGTGTTGTGCAGTTTTTAAACCTTGTCGACGTCGTGTTTGCTGTTGTACCGGATATGTTCAGCTCTTCAGAATTTAGAATTTAGCTGTGAATTTCA